GGTTCCCTGGCAAGGGCAAGGACCTGAGTTTAATCCCCAGGTCCACCAAAATAAATAAATAAATAAATAAATAAATAAATAAATAATCTTGGTTCACTCAGGAACTGAAAAGCCCATCATAGAAGCTTCAAGTAGGCTTGAAGTACATAGCCCAGAGCCCCCACAGTGTATCAGAGAATTCCCTCAGTGGTCTCACAGCTTCTCAACACACCTGAAAATATCAGGAGAAAAACAAAATCTGTGCCCAATCCCAGAAAGTAGGGATCAAATCGTACCAGATGATGTTGGTTGTTTTACATAAAACACTGAGGGGAGGTTAGAAGACGCTCTTCCTGGGGAGTTGGGTTTCTAACACTCTGACTTTGTGACTCTCAAATATTCTTCACAAAATTAATATTGCTTATATGGAAGTGCACAATGGGAGGTGGGAGAAACTCTCAACTCAGTCCACCCCTGCTCCATGGAGTTAAATCCTGCAGCAAACAGGGAGCCACAGCACCGACTGCAGGGGTCTCTCCCCTGGCTAGGTTAACAAGGAAGGCAAATTTATTCTTCCCCCATTCTCTCCACATCTACCTTCCACCATTTCTAAAATTGCACCATTATCAGACTGGGACCATTATCAGACTGGGCGTGGTAGTGCCCACCTGTAATCCCAGCACTTGGGAGGCTGAAAACAGGAGGACTGCCATGAATCTCATCTGTGTAATGAGACCCTGTAGACCCTGTACTAAATACATAAAATATGGTAGACCATTATCTAGTCTGCCAAACAAAGCTCAAAAGCAGTTAACATTTACCTGGAAAAGCTCAGTGATGTAGCACTTGTGCTCAATCTCCAACACAGGGAAAACACAGCTATCATTTAACCTGAAAACTAACAACTAGCTGCTCCTACAAATGCCAGGAGTTATTCCATGAGCAAAGGTCTCCCTATTTCATGCTTTGGGTGGCAGCCTGCAACTGTGAAAGCATACAGCTCGCACGTTATCAGCTCCAGGACCCAAGGCTACAGCTGGCTCAGCCACTGGACCCATGGAACAGAGGCTAGACTGGCCTCACTCCAGCTTCAGCTTATCATTTAAAAATTAGCACAAGGATCTTTATCTGATCTCCTCCTTCAGGTCTACTATGAGGAGCAATTAAAATAATATACATGGGGCTGGGGAGACAGCTCAGTGGTCTACGTGCCTCCTGGCAATGCAAGGACTCAGGTTTGATCCCTGGTACCACACACCGTGTTGGCCCTGCACACATCTATAATCCAAGCTCTGGGAGGATGAGACAGGAGGATCAATACAAGTCTGAACTGTGTAGCAAGACCCTATACCAAATAAATAAATAAATAAATAAATAAAACATAATATAATAATATACATGAATTTTGTAACTTTTAAGAACCATGTAAGGGCCAGCAAAATAGTGGACTAAAGCACCTGCTTAGGCAAGCTCAGACAAGAGCAGAGACTACGCACACAGTTCGATCCCCCGCACCACATGCCAAGCCAGCCCCACCCCAAGTGTGGGCTGAGCAGGCCGCACTCTGGGCATAGTGGTGCATGCCTGTGATCCCAGTGCTGGGGAGGCTGAAAGTAGGAGATCACCACGAGTCTAAGCTCAGTAGTGAGACCCTGTAACAACCAAATACATGTAAAACAAGAAAAAAAAAAAACTATGTAAACCTCAGTTGAATGAAGTGTCACTACTTAGTATATACAACTATTTTCATTGTACCATTTCTTAGAAACTATCCCTTCACTTCCCAAAAAAGAGGAAATCTTCCCCCCTACCAGCTGAATAACACAAAAGATACCACTTCCAGGGCATCTCTGCCCACAGCCAAGCCTTTCTCACCAGACCACTCTCTCTAAAGTGGCCGTGACTCCTGTTTAAGGCAACCTCTGTGCTCCTCTCAGCTATTTTCACGGGAAGTTGTTTTCATAAGCACCCTTATACTTATAACTTGTAATAACTGTATTCATCGTTTTGGCCACTAGCATGCCAGCCCCACTGGAAAAGGGGTTCCATCTCATTCACTTGTACTCCTACCTCCTGAGAGAACATTGTATAGGTAAGAAATAAAAGTGTTCAATATACGTTTGTTGAATAAACTTTGAATATGAGAAGTAAAACTTTTTTATAAAATGAACTTACCTTCTAAAATTACATTTGAATCTTCTATAGCATTATCTAAAAACAAATAAACATGTATTAACTCAGCCCCACTCAGATCCCTTGAGCAACTAATGTCTACTCAGATATATAAATGGTGCTTGCTTTTAGACTGGGACTATTTATGGACAGATGGGACAGTATTATATCAATTTTAATTTGTAAGTTATAATCAAAGAATGCATCAAGTTTTATCCCCAATAAAACTTGCAATATAATTATGAAATAAACATAATAGTTGGTTTATTTTATTAGCAAGTTCTATATTTATAAGATTCAACTAAACAAGGATTTTAAATATTTGGGGGAAAAAAACTGAGTCTGTACTGAAAATGTGGAGACTTTTTCTTGTCATTATTCCCTAAACAATACAATACCTGATATAGCATTTACACTGCATTAGCAAAGTAAGTATGCAGAGATGATTTAAAGTACACAGGAAGTGGGCCAGCCAGAAAGCTCAGCAGACTAAAGCGCCTGCTTAGGAAGCCAGGGCTCAGGGTTCAACCACCAGCTTTCCGGGTCAGCCCTGCCCCAGGGCACACTTAGAAGGCAAATGAGACCGGGTATGGTGGTTGCGCTTGGGAGGCTGAAAACAGGAGAATCACTACAAGTCTAATCTGTGTAGTGAGATCCTGTACTAGATACATAAAAAAATGAAAGATAAAAATACATAAGAGGTAACACATAGGCTAAATAAATAAATAAATAAATTATACCATTTTATAAAGCTAGAAACAACCCTACTGCAGATACCATGGACAACTATATTGACAATAACCATCAAATTTTTAGTGAGCTAAACATTTCTTTTATTTCTTTTTTTTGTCTGTTCATTTACCCACAAGTTATAAAAGCTTTACTGTATGAAGTTAAGGGATTTGTAGGGAACATTTGTTTATAGGAGGGAAAAAAAAAAACGCACCTGAAATTTCTATTGGTTTATTTTCTGAAGGTTCATATGCTACAAAGTAAACAGAAAAAGTAAGCCTTTAGCACTGCATAACTTTCATTCTTCTTTTTGTAGAATATTTATTAAGGTTATCTAATGTACAATTTTTCATATGTCATTTTGGAAGTCCTTCATTATAAAGAATAACAGCAGCCAGTCATCATTCTGGACCTCCACGCACTGGATTTAGGATTGTCTCTTCTGTCAGGGAACCTTATTAATGGTGTGTGTGGCTTGACTGCCTGGATGACCTGACTGGCAGATGCCATCTTGCTGCCCATCATGACCCCAGCACTTTCATGATAACAATAACTGAAAAACTTATTCTAGGTGTCAGCCTATGTCTTATTCATAAATGCTTGAACCTACAGGGTTGGTCACTACAAGCACAGAAAACAGAACAGCGCAGTGAAAAATCTGATTAACAGGCCTGGGGAGATAGCTCAGTAGAATAAGTGCATGCCTGGCAAGCTCAAGGTCCTGAGTTCAATCCCCAGTACTGCAAAAAATAAAAAATCTGATTAATTTACTGAAACAGGTCTAGTTTCAAATTATAGGTAGTCCATTATTTGGCCAGAAGAGATAATAAAATCATGCACTTCTGTCCTATACAGTGAGGAAAAGACAAGCCCCTCCCCCAATTACTAGCTTTTTTTTTTTCATTTTGTATACTAGCTTAAAGTAATCAATAATTTCTTTATGCCAGGTGACACTAAATTTCCTTTTTAAATTTTCTTCAAATTTTTGGTTGAGGTTTTGGGTTAACCAAGCTCAAGCCTTCTAATTACCTGAATTTCAGTTTTGTTCTTTTTAAAATAATCTTATTGAGAAACAAGTAGCAATGAGATAGTTTCAAAACCAATTAGGACAGTTTCAATAATTAATACATTCTATATTGTTGTCTTACTGGTTATTCATTGTACAAGATGCAGACATGATATCCTATCCACAGACACTGTTAGAACAAATCTTTCTATTCATTGAATTATGAGAAAGTAGCTCTATATCTGTCCTAACAATTTTGAATATACAGATACAAAATGGTCATTCATTTGTATCCCCTTTTTTGTTTAGTTTTGTCAGAGACAGGTATTGCATTGTCATGTAAATATTATACGTACGTAAATTCGGCAAAATATTCCAATATAGTCCAGGAGTCCATAATAGTAGTGGGTTATCCATAGGGCTGGCAATGTCAGAAGTTGTTGACTTGAGCCTTTTACAACTCAGCATGTTAATATGGATTTACTTTTTATACATCATTTTTATACTTTTCTACTGGATTGTTAAGACCAAGATAGAGCGAGACCTATATACCAAGAAATGCAACTTTTGTATCTGAAAAGGTCTGTCAAATCCCTTCAGGATTTACTCTGAAACCCTGTACTGCCCATTTGTAGACTCTTTGTCAGTGTCAGCCATATGGATGAGTCATGGTCATTACTTGACCAATTTGCTCTCTGTGAAATCCCAAGAGGGTGTTTTCTCTCCATGTGACTCTCCTTAGGCACATTCTACATCACTAATCACTTTCCTCTGTGGCCCCATAATCTTGATCAGAGAATCTGGGACACAACTGAGTTACGTGATGTTACAGTATAGGTTCTCTTATGTCCTGAGTCTTCACTGACTGAGAGGCTAGGGCCAAAATGTTGACTGTCCTTGCAGCTTTTCTTTTTCTCTAATTTTTGGTCTGCAAACTTAGGTTATTAACCCTCCAGAAGAGAAGCTTATTATTACGTAATAGTAGGGTTATGCTTGTAATGCCTGTCATTCTGATTTTCTAAATACATACTG